AAGAGCTCGGGGAGCCCTGATTCACTGGCAGAGAGAAGGCAGCCAAGGGGGGCAGTGAGTACACTGTTTGGAAAAATGGAAAGTGAACTTCAAATCTGTATTCAATCTGGTCCCCAAAATACCATTACTATTAACGTAACTCCAAAAACAAATAAAAGAGAATGGGGGAAAGACATCATTGCAGTTTGATCCTTAGAAGAGGTACCATTGGTCAGAGAAGACCTGGCTCCCTCGCTGAATCTGACTGGGTTCCATGTACAGAGGAGATCTATGAATTACCATGGTCTAGCACAGCAGAATAATTAAATGGGTTTCCCACACAGTTTAAGACCGGCACCTACGTTGGTTAGGTAAATGCGAAAGATGAGTCTGATCAAATTAGTGAGCATTCTAGGGAGGATCTGCTGTGTGAGGTCTGTAGCCTCCAAACTAGCTTTTAAGATTCTTCTCCTGGGAGCCAACAGCCATCTCTCTCTTGGATAAAACCTGTGAGCTTTAGGTATAAACAAGACAGTCAAATGTACCCATAAGTGCCATAATTTGAGTTTAGGTACTAGCGCTATGTCTGAATGACAAGTATGAGAGGGGTTTTTAGAGATACCATTTGAAAGCTTTGATGGGTTACGTGTGCATATGTGGCCCAGGCGTGAATTCCTGGCTGCCCTTGATAAGAAACATATCTAGTTTACAGCTCCACCAAAGGGAACCTGTGGCCCCTTTTCTGGGGATGCCTGATGTAAAGACACACTCTGATCTGAGCCACAACTGTAATCTTCATAGAGTAGATATTATTTGTTTCCACCCAGATTCTTTGACCTGCAGGTGCAGCCATCCTGGATGTTGTGCCTTGGCTGGATATCAATTCACAGCTCTCTTCTCCCCAGAATTGCCTTTGGTTAAGCCAGAGCATTGCTAATTCTGAGACGATCATCTCCTACCACCTCCAGAGGTACAAAAGCCCAGAGTCTGGCCACAGGACGGTCATGTTTGTATGCCATTTGTGCTTCCAAACGTCCCTGTGATTAGAACCAAAGTGAACATCCAGAGGACATGTTCTTGCTTAGCCTTTCCCTTTCCCATCCTGCTTCCTTCACTCTCTTTCCCTCAAGAGGACTCTCCCAAAGATGGGGTGTAGACATACAATGGAATGTTATTTAGCCATGAGAAAGGAGGACATCCTGCCCCTTGCAAGAACATGGATGGACCTTGAAGGTATTATGTTTGGTGAAATGAGCCAGACAAAGACCAACACTGCATGTTCTTCTACATATGGAAACTTAAAAAGCTGAACTTGTAGAAACCGAGAGTAGAATGGTGGTTACCAACACCTGGGGGGGGGTGGGGGAAGGGACAATATTGATCAAAGGGTACAAGTTTCCAGTTAGAAGATGAATGAGTTCCAGGAATCTAGTGCACGGCACTGTGATTATACATAACGATACTGTACTATATACTTGAAGTTGCTAAGAGAGTAGATATTAAATGTTCTCACCACAAAGAAGAAATGATAATTATGTGATGCGGTGGAGGTGTGAGCTAACACCACAGTGGTAATTATATTGCAATGCCTACACGTATCTAATCAACGCTTTGTACACCTTAAACTTACACAACATTATATCTCAATTATACCTCAATAAAGTCAGAAAAAAATCATTTGAACGAGGCTTCTCCACCTTAGGCTCTGCTTCTAAGGAACACCTCTGGTGGTGTTACTTTCCTGCCCCTGACTGGACAAAGCTTTTCTGGAGCTGTAGCTTGGGGAGCCCCTAATACCTCTCCAGCCCCACTCAGCCCTCCCTGTCTCACCCAGCTGTACACCCTTGAGTTGGGTGATGTGATCTCTGCTGCACCCTGGCCAGGGACACCCACTGGGGACCCAGGAGGAGGTCGGCTTTCCTTACTCCAGTAGGTCTATCTTTTCTGTTGGTTGAAGAGCCCACTCTTGAGTTCACCTTCAGAATTAGGAAATGAATCTTCGACTCAACTAAACCCCAGCTGCTCCTGTTTTTGGAGCCAGGAAGAGTCCACAGGGAGGAGCAGAGTTCTCTCAAGTCTGTGTGGGATAGAGGACAAGCCCAGCCGGAGTCACCTGTACCCAACGCTAAACTGTCCTGACATCTCTCTTAATGATTCCCTCCTCAACAGCAGCTGGACGAGGATGGTGAGCTGCTCCTTCTCCATTAACAGGTGTCCCCCAGGCCATTCTCCTGTGAACCAAGCGATGAACAAAAGACTCGGGCAGAAAATTGGGAAAAGCGATGCTGGCCACCATCAGATGTGTATTTATTCAGTTTCTAGGTGCTCAAGAAGTAACATCCCCTGCTTCCCCTCTCAGGCTGGGAAGAAACAGGACTCTGAAGACAGATGGAGAGCAAGATATCACCTTCATCTTTAATAAGTTGCGAAAAAATAAGACCTTCCCCCAAGTGGCCTCTGACCCTTTATCCCTAAACTACACAGCTTATCAACCCAGTGAGAAGCTGTGAGGGGCACCCTGGGGCCTCTCGTGAAGGTTCCGGCTCAGGAGGGAGGAGACAAACATGTCTGCGGGCAGGCCCGCCAGCGAGCGAGAAGAGGGCTGAGCTCGATTTCTTCACTCACATTCGCTAATGGAAGAACTCACTGCCCCTCCCTTGGGGAGAAGTGAGGGAGGGGTGGAAAAAGTGCTATTCTATCTGTGGTTTTGAATCTTTTCAATCATTACTGAATTTCCCAGGGAGGGAGGGGCACTTAAAAACATGGCAGGATACAACCAGCATTCAGTGGGCAGGAGTGAGGGATGTTAAACACCATATGATGTGCAGGACAGAGCCATACGACTGAGAGCAGCTCTACCCACGATGCCAATAGCACCCCCGTGGGAAACAGAAGTCCTTCTATGATGAAACACAAGGCACAGATCTCGAAGACTGCCTCCACCCACATGTGCACACCTATCAATCCCCTATAGACTGCAAAACACGAGACACTCTGCAAAGTTAATCAAGGAGAGGCAATACTAGATCCCCAACCTTGGAAAAACCAGGAGACACAGTGCCCTGGAGAGCAAGGCGTTGTTACCGGCACTTCATCAGCGCCTAACACCAGGAAAAGAGCAGCAGTCGGGTGGCCAGGGGCCTGTCCGGAGAGAGCAGCATGTCCAGAGGCGGCAGCTGGGCCAGCGGCAGGTCGTCTCTGCTGAAAGCTGCTCTCAGCTACCCGGGAGTCCTCACCTCCCTTTCTTCCTCCCCTTTTCTCTTTCCCTTTTCTTAAGGACTGTGGTGCTTCTCTGTGAGGTTAATTACTTGCCTGTCATTGAGCCCAGGACTCTGTCTGTCAGCTCCCTCGGCTTAAGAACCAAAGGTGTCAAAGGAAGAATTTCTAGGAACGCCAGACTCACACGCCCACCCCCTTGCTCTTCTCCTGCTTTCAAAAAAGGCGAGTGTTGCCTCGGTCTTGGCCTTGAGGGGACGAGGGCTGGAAGCAAGTGTTCCCAGAACCGTTGCTCATAGAAAGTCATCTAATTCTGCACACATTACCCTGTCTGGCCGTATTAACAGGGTTATAAATATGCCTGAAGTTTAGAATTGATGATCAACAAAGTACTTAAATAAACATGCTCATTACTGAAGCCCCGAGAGGAACGCAGTGACATGCAGAGAGGGCCCGAGCGCATCATTTTCACCTTCGTTTCCTAATCTTATCTACTTTTATTTCACACCACATGAAAAATGGATAGGGAGCTCCTTGCTATTTTTGATGGGTTTTCTCTCTAAGTATTCTTCCCCCACCTGCTGCTTCAGTGAAAGTGACACCAGCCTTCTCAGGGGCGCTCACCCCGGGCCCGGCCAGCCACAAAGACGAAACCACCCCCCGAGGCCCAGGAGAAGTGGGGGCTCTGGCTCCCCATGGAAATGAGAAAAGGGGGCTCATGAAGTCTGCCAGCAGGCCCGGCAGAGCGCTCTACGCTCAGCCCTTCCCAGCATCTCAGGGACTGAATGAGTCATTGGCAAATGAAAGTTTGTAGATAAAAAGAATCCCGGAAACCAATTGGTTTCGCCTCTATTTACATGACTAGCTTAGAGAGCCTTTCCGAAAATGGTCCTCTGTGTCTGGCCCTTGTGTTTTATAACACACACATTTCATCAGACCAGGCACTCGGTCTTATCCTGGAAATTTTAGCCAAACATTTTAAGACTATTTGCTACTCAAGACAAGATTGTGTAAATATTTCATAAAAAGGTCTAATAATAGCCAGTGACAGCTAACTACCACTGGCTATTTAAGATGTGTCTGGCCGCATTTGCGAGCTCTTTAGAGAAACTGATTTATTTCATCCTCAGGGGAGTAGGTCCATTATGCAGATGAGGAAACCGGAGGCAACAGAGCAGATTAGTAACGTGTTGGTAAGAGGCAGGCCAGGATGCAAACTCAGGCAGACTGGCTCTGGAGCCGGAACACTCAGCCAGGACCCTATGCTTCTTCCTACGTTTACGTTCCTTAAGACTCTATCATGAGCAAAGTTAGTATATGGATAGAATCAAATAATGTCAAGGCCCTTCTAAAGTAACCAGTCCAATCGTCTCTCTCAAATGCTTGCGTAAATGGTCAGGTAGCATCTACGTATACATCCAGCAAGGCGTGGTGCAGCCTGTGAATCGGGGAGTATGAGAGATGCCTAAAATTATTTTTAAAAAAACCTTGACTTTAAAAAAAAAAAGTCCTTAGGCTGAATTCTGCCAGCTGGCTGGCAGTCTGGGAGTCCTGCTTCTCATCCAAAATTTTACAGACAGTGAAACTAGCCCAGAGAGGGTAAGTGGTCTGCACAAGGTCACACATCAATAGTGACAGAAGCAAGGCTAGAATCCAAGGCTCATGGACCTTTCTGCCCACATGGAAACCCTGCTCCACCCTCTGCCTCCCCATCCCCTCTCCTCCCCGCCCCCATTCCCCAGTTCCCATCTCTCTCACGCACAAGCAGTACGGCTCTTACTTTATTTGCAAAGTAAATAGAGCTGAGATACAGATTATGCTCAAGCATCAAAGCTTTTATCCAATATAAACAGAATCAGGGTAACTTGTTCCCTCTCACTCCTCTCTCACACATGCACACAGGCTCTGTGCCAGGCCAGCATCATTAGCAGAAGGCAAACAGAACTGAGGCATCCTGGCCAAGCTGGGGAGCACTGTCTACACCCAATACAAGCAGGGAGCTGCATTTAACATGGCCTCCTTCCTTCTTTTTTTCCCACTGACGCTCCGCTAGGAATAAAGACTGGATTGTTAAATGTGAGGTACGTCACAAAGGAAAGGGCTACGGACTGAGAGTGGGTGGAGAGATCTTCTCCCACAGCCTCCCTGAACCTCAGTTAACTTATTTGTAGTGATAGGAGGATTAAGTGGGCTAATAGGAAGCCAAGGTCAAAAAATACGGTACATTAGCAAAGTCCTCATTCTCTGGTTCTGAGAGTTCCCAAAGTCGCCAAAGAAGAGACATACACACCAATACATGCACACCACACACACACACATACACACATGTTCTCACATATTAACACCAATGAAAAATAATACATGAGGTTAGGAAGTTACACCTTTAAAACAATAGAGCCGCCATCATTCGAATGACTCTTTTTCAGAACGAACTCATCCCAGAGAATGTGATCAAGGGCTCTAGCAAATTCAGTTTAACACTGACAGCAGCCACTCTTCATTCTTTGAGTGTAAATTGATTGGATCTTTGGTTACAGCCTCAGTCTTTCCTAGCTCTGGAGAATATAGTTGAGGAAGCAAGCTTGGGACGGTAGTTTTGGGGAGAGGGAGGCAGGGTGGTGTAGTGATAAGGGCTCAAGATTCTGTGTCAGAAGATCTGGATTGTTCTCTGCTCAGATACCTTCCAGCCCTGTGACTTTAGGCAAGTCTACAACCTCTTTCACTCTCAGTTTCCTCATCTATAAAACAGAAATGATAATTCCTTTATAGGATTTTTATGAAGATCAAAAGCTAATAGTAGATGTGAAAGTGTTCTCCAGGCCATAAAATCTAAATGCAAATTTTTTAAGTCTTTTTTTTAATGTAAAAGATGTGGGGTGATTAGTAAATTAAATTGGAAGGCAGTTCTTATAATGGAACTTAAAAGTCATTATAATGGGAGCAAGAATCATCACCATCATTGTAGAGCGTCTGATAAGACAGCCTTAAACGGCCAAGCTCATATCTGTACATTTCATCCATTCAGTCAGCCAGCTGACAAATGTCCTTTGAGTACCTAGACGTGCCAAATGCTGTTAGACTCAGGGAACACCGTGTCGAACGCACACAGCCCCTTTCCCTCTAAAATCTCCCGATGGAACGTGACTAGACATCTAGCATCTACTGCTCATTTATCTCATTACCTTATAGTTAAATCTGGTATAAACAAATGACAACTGCAGAGCAACTTCAGAGGCTTCTTGAGGTTCCCAAGTGTCTGCAAAATGCTTTGAAAAATAAAAGACCCTCTCATAATGTGAGTCAAAAGAGAGGATAAACCAATGGGTGGGTGAGTGAGGACCACAGAGATGGCGGAGTAAAGGATTCAAGGGGAAGGTTTCAGGAAGGAAGTGAGGGTGGGCCCAGGTTGGGAGGTCTTATCAAAAGCCACTCACCTCCTTTTTTCCACCTGCTCTTTGATGCTGTAATCTAGAAACTAAAGGACTTGAGCCAAGTGACCATCCATGCCCATTTCAGCTCTGAGATTCTGACATCCTCGGCCATGTAGGATGGCGGTACAGTGGCTTGAAGTAGTTAATTTATCCTGCAGAATATTTCAAACCTGAGTCAGCATAGGTGAGACAGAATAGAAGGACAATCACCCCCCCCACACCCTTTCCCAAGAAGACAAAGCCGCCCATCATTTGCCTTTAATCTGTTTTCTTAATTTTCTTCCTAAGGAAAGTCACAGCTCCAATCAGTCCTCTAATCAATGGCTGCACTACTCCTGCACAAATGAGCTGGATTTATTAAAGGAGCCCTCTCTTCGATGGAAATGGGCTCCCTGCTGGGGCTGCACATACAGGCTAAGATTGACTGCTCCCTGAATAGGTAAGGATGGAAAGAAAATGAGAGCAGGCACGTGATGGGGAAGAGAGCCCCCAAGACTGCTCTATGACCTCCCCACCACCATGACAAGGAGCGGATGGTCGCCAGCGGCCCCTGGACATCTGCATCTCATTCAGGCCGATCCTGGGCATGGTGACCAGTAGTGCCTCACAAGAAAGTATCCTCTAGTCACTTCCCTACATGGCTGAGGTAAAGGAGCTCACCCGAAAGAGAGAGACTCTTCCAGATGGAGAACTTCACAGAAACCAGGAGGCTACAGGCTGTCAGAGCTGGAAAGAGCCTTGGAGGCTGACATACAGCCACAAACTCAGGGGGTGTTCTGTGACAGGACCCCGATATTTCTCAATAGTTGATGGCCAGAAGCAGAGGAAACTAATATTTCAATGCTGTAAGAAATTATTCATATTAGGCAGAAATTAGATAATTATCTATTCATATTTGGGGGCTGAGGTCTCCTTTTCAGTAGGAAGTGGACACTTGATTAAACTTTTGGCTACGTATAGAAGCAGCCAGTGGAGATGCCTGGAGCAAGGAAAACTTAATCTCTTCTGCAAATAATGTCAAGCTCTGTCTTCATTTGTATTTCTGGAAATTATTATTATGTTTCTCGGGGCGGGGAGAGAATGGGGAAGTCAATTTCTTGTTTCTCCTTAAAACCTCAGAGAAATCTGAGAGGCCTGGACATCCATGTAGAATATGGACACAGGCACTCACGTAATAGATCAATGTCTGGCCCCAGTGATATGATGGAAGACAGAGAGAGAGAGACAGAGAGACAGAGGGACAGACAGATAGACAGAGAGACAGGGAGAGAGAGAGCATCCCATGCTATAAACAATAGAAGCCAAGTTGCTTGGCAGCCTGTTTTCAGATTTTCTATTCTCAGTTATGATTTCCTTCTGTTACCCTCCAACCTCAGTTTTGTTCAACATGTCAGCCTGAGAGAGAGCAGTCTGGAAAAACAAACCAGTTACGAGATGGTACCGAGGATCAACGTACCAGAGATGCAGAGTAAAATAGGTGTGGAGAGGATGATGTCAGCCAGTGTGGGTGGAAAACGCAGACATTCCTCAGACACAGCTTCCTCCAAGGCTGTGGACCAGGGAACCTGGTGGAAGGCTCGGCATTCCAGAGTTAGGTGGAAATGGGGCTGGTGCTGATTGAGAATGATAAAGGGAGGCTGGGCTGTCTGGATTCTATAAACAACAAAAGGCATCATCAAGCGATTTGCTCAGAGTCACAGAGTTAGTTAGTGAGACAAACTCAGAGACACTGTGATTCTTAACCTTGTTTTCCGTAATCCTAGACTCACCACACCTCTCCTGCATTTCAAAGCCCAGCCAAGCTTTATGTCACTGGTGTTCACCACCTGGAGAGAGAAAGAGAGAGAGAAAGAGAGAAGAGGGAGGAAGAGGGCAGAAACAAGAGGAGGGGAGGGGACTCAAGCAGTGTTTAGAGATTTACTTTCTGCAGTTTTCAGATTACTCATCCTTTTCTTGACCTGGTCCTGCTTTGTGAGACTTGCAGCCCATCGGTGTTGGAAGATCAGTCAATCCTGTTTTTTTGTTTGTTTGGTTGGTTTTTTTTGTTTTTTTTTTTTTTTTTTTTTGCAGGTAGGCCAAACTGGCCCTGGAAGTAACTTGCCTAAAATTACTAGCAACTAAGAGTCCAAGTGGGTTTGGAAGCAGAGAAGGAAAGCAGCAAAGTGTGGAGGGAGAATCAAGAAAAAGAATTCCCCAGGAAGCCTGCAGCTCAGCCCCAGGGAGTAGGTGTGGATGGACCCTTACTGTCCCGCCTCCCGCCCCTGCCGTCTGCACGCATCTCCTACCCTTTCCTTCACGCAACCTCTACAAGGACTAGAGTGAGAAAACGCAGCATCTTACGAGTCTCCACTCAGAATATTCTGTCTCATATCATCCTGTGTGTGAGTCTTGTTCCCCCCCAACACTTCCAGCTCCACTGGGGTGGGAACTGGATTCCAGGGAGTGTACCGTACTGCGTGCTTCCCTTTTATACAGCGCCTCCCACAATTGGGAATAAGAGACTCACGTTCAGCAAATACCTGCCTGGACGTTGCTCTGAGAAAACTTGCAAAACTTCTCATGGTGCAAATTCTTACATTATAGAGGGAAAAGCTTAAAGATGGGGAAATGAGACCCAGTTTCCAATCGGCAAAGTGGAGAGGGAGAGACTTAATGGCACCGGTCCGTTCCTTCTCATCTGAGATGTGTCATTTTGTGAACAAAATTTAGCAACTGTATTGATAGACTACAATTTGGACAGGACATTCTCGTACCATGAGGCCTTCTCCCTTTCCTCCGTCATCCCCTTCTCTCTTGTCCCCCACACCAACTTACAAAAGCCTTGGCACACAGAGGGCTCAGGATGGGACAGAAGCCTCAAGGACTCCAGCAGAGACACAGGCAGAAATTTGCCTGAGGCTTCTGAAGGGTGGCTGCTGTTTTGATGCCTTTATATTGGCTTTGTCTCAATTGAAACTGAGTCTGAAAGCGGGCAATGGGGGTTCCGAATGCATTTGCCATTGTACAAGCTGCCAGAACACGGAGTCCCCTTATGCCTCCCGGAACGGGAGACAGTCAGCGGTTGCACTGGAAGTGGGTGATAGTTGCAACTGGAAAGCATTCCTCAGGCAGGTGCGAATGTGGAGAATGTGTCAGCTGCTCACGCTGCCCACATCTCCTTCCCCAAATCCACCAGACTCTTTCCCTCCTTGCGTCTGTGTATCATAAAAATTTTACTCATGATATAAAATGCCACCCTGAAGTCCTCAGGTAACTATGGGAGCCACAGAAATATTTATGGAAAGCTTGAATTTTAAGTTGTCTCCTCTCCTATTGCAAAACATTCTAGGGGAAGGCGGGAAGGAGGCGAGGACTGACTCAAACAGTCTTCCCGGTCCACTGGGGAGGTGGTGACAAAAGATGGGAGAGGAGCAAGTATGTTCTTGTCTAGAATATCCATTACAAGGCCTTTTGCCTGGCATTATGCAGCCACTTAACCTTTTCCACTTGAACAGCAGATTCCAAATGTATTTTTTGTCAAGCCAGGTCACAGCTCCGCAGCCCTCCCAGAGAAGACCCGTGTGGAGCATCCATCCTTTCATTCTGGCGGATTTAAGCAGAGCTGAAGACAGAGACCACTCTGTTCCCCATCCTCTGACCTTCACTCTTGAAAGCCACTTGCTTTCAAGGTGAACAAGTCTTGTCTTGGAACCAATTAAATATACATACTAGAGTGACTAAAGTGTTCTTGAAAGGATGTGCAAGGGGAGTGCCAAGAAAGAAGAAGCATCTCAGAATGAATTATTGATCAAGTTTTCTTTCGTACACACACACGTACGAGGGTCTGGTGCTCCCAGCCAGGGGGAGATGGCATCTTGTGCAATCTGCACAGGGTTAAGAAAGATAACCTGTTTGCTCTAAACTCCATTTATTTGGTGGATGGGAAACGTGTTTACATCTCTGTGTATCTCTTTTTGTTTGGTTTTCCAAGAAATCCTGAATCAGCAGATTTCAGAAGAAAGCTAACACAACTGACAGGCTTAGAGAAATGATGTGTGCTCCATGAAAAAATTAATTGGAAAAACAAAAACAAAAACGCTTTTCACTTATATAGCAGTTTTTATCTCAGTCTCTAAACGAGTTATGAGTATTAATTAAATGTTGTCATGCATCATTTGTCACCTTGTTTCTATTAGTCCAAGTGGAAACCTCAGGTTCGATTACTGTTAGAGGTGGAGAAACTGAGGCAGTGTGGAAGGATGGATGAAATCGTGAGGAAGTTAAGGGAACTGTCACTTCTATATTGACTACTCCAAACTCATTCATCTCATGAGACCTACTTTGGTGATGACAAACTAGCACAGTGCACACCAATCCTGACACCCTCACTTCCACTAGTTGCCATTTCTGCTAAGCCAGCTGATGGAACTGTCTCCTTATAAGTCAACTTGGTGACCATTACCAGAGTAGTAGTTACCTATGGCTGGATAACCCATGGCCACAACTTATAAATAACACACATTAATTGTCTGACAGTTTCTGCATGTCAGGAGTCTGAGCATGACCCTGCTGGGTCCTACGCTTAGGGTCTTACAAGTTGTCAGCCAGGGCTGAGTTATCCAAAGGCTTAGTTGAGAAAAAGTATCTACTCTCCTGCTCACATAGTTTGGGCAGCATTTCATTCCTGGCAGCTGTTTTGTGCTGGCTGATGGCTGTATTTCCTAAAAGCCACCAGCACTTCCTTGCTACATAGACTCCCTCACCATGGCCACTTACTCATCAAGTCAGCGAGGCAACTATTTAGCGTCTGGTATCAAAATGGAGTCTTGATGCCACGTAATGTAATCACGTTGTGTGCTTCATGATTACAAAAGGGAATAGCCCACCTCTTTTGCTGTATTCTTTTGGTTAAAAGAAATTTGCAATTCTCACCCACACTTGAGGTGAGGGAATTACACAAAGGGGTGAATACCAGGAAGCAGGGACCCTGGGGGCCAGTCTAGAATCTGTCTGTCAAACCCAAAAATCTGGAAGTAAAAACTTCTTCATTACTGTAAGCTTTATGGTAAGCTTTCAAGAAAATAAAAGGTAAAGAGTTGGTCAGATTATTTGATGTTACAGGCAAACTTCAGCAGTACTGCAAGCTCAGTTCCCGATCACCGCAATAAAGAGAGTCACGCAGATTTTTTGATTCCTTGTGCATATAAAATTCTGTTTGCATTGTACTGTCTATTAAGTGTGCAATAGCATTATGTCTGAAAAAACAATGTATGTACCTTAATTAAAAATATGTGTACCCAAAAATGCTATCATCTGACAATGCAGGGTTGACACAAATCTTCAACTGGAAAAAATGCAGCAGCTACAAAGCACAATAAAATAGTCTGCTTGTATCCACCTTCTAGGAAACAGGAGAACTCAGCAGAACACTGAACACATACAAACACAGGCGTTTAATAGAGATCTCACGGAAGCCCCAGTAATTTCATTTATTAATCAAGATATACAGGATTAAGTTACTCAACTAGCAGCCAGAGTACTAAGACAGCCACCTTCAGATCCCCGTTTTTAGTTTCAGGAAAAAAAAGAAAGACAAACAAGAATAATTTAGTTCAATGCAATAAAGATTTATTGAATGCCTACCTTTTGCTCACTGCATCCCAAAAGCCAGACATGAGACACAGACTGGTGTCTGTGTTTCTCTAAGTGTCATCCACAGCTGGATCAGAGCCACCCAAAGGGTGTGTGATGAAAGGCAAGTGTCTGAGTGCCATCTCAGACTTATTGAGTCAATTTTTTGAGTGTGGAACCCAGTAATCTATATTTTAACAAGAACCCAGAGAATCTCATTCACAGCGAAGTTTGAGAAACCTGGGTGGAGCAGGACTTTAGAAACTTTAACATGCCTGTGACTCAACTGAGGTCTTGTTGGAATGCAGATTCTGATGCAGTAGTTCTGGAGTGGGGCCTAAGATTCTGCAAGTTCCCAAACAATATCATTGTCATTTGTCCTCTGAAGCAATGTAGACGGTTAAAAAGAATGAAAGAACCAAATAGTACAATTCTCCTCTTACACAAAGTGACTGTAAATAATGGGATTTTAAGTAATTTAAGTATTTTGAGTGAGAATCGCTGAAAAATTCCCAGAGCCAGATGGGGATTGCCTTTTTTTCCCCATGCACATGGCAAATTGTGAATTTGGGAGAAAAGTGATATTGAGGCGCAGAGGAGTGTGGAGAGAGCTTAGATAGGGGCCATGAGTGATGCTGTAGGATTAAACTGTGAAGTGAATTTGTACCTGGTTAGAGAGAAAAGGACACACAGAGGAAACAGACAAAATTCAAGTGAGTGTCCAGGAAGGCAGAGCTTGGTCAATGCTAGCTAGAACAGCCTAGATGGAGTGATACCCTCTATCTAACAGAACCTGAGGGAGAGATGGGGCACAGGGCATGCTGGTACCGGCTCATCAAGAGGGAAACAAAAAATAAAGATAAAAAGGAGACAAGAGTTTTAATAATTATGGGTCAGAATCAGTCAAGAGCCTCCAACCAAATGCACAAAAGAGAACAGAAAGCAGAAGGGATTTTCTAGGAGAAGACAGAAGGCAGTAGGAGGGGGTGAGGAAGATGGCCACAGGTTTAGTTTTCCACCGGAAGCTGATGGAGGCATGTCTCCTGTCAAAGGCAAAGGTTTGATTCTGAGCTAGAGAACAGGACCAGGGGAAATGCCTAGGAGATCTAGGTGGCTAAGTAATATTTCAACCCTGAGTTGAGCCAACTTAACCTTGGAGTAGCGCCATATTCGAAGGCCTGAAGCCATGCGATGTGGCGGAAAGACCATGGAACTTGCGGTCAGGGGAAGTGGCTTCTCTGTCTTGTTCATCTCTTCATTCGTTACAAACTCATTGAGACTCTACTGGATTCTAAGCCCCATGCTAAGTTCTGGGACACTTAACATAACAATTGAAATAATACAAAATAACAAAAATACTGTCATAATAATGTTAACAATAATTAAATTTGGAACGATCGATGTGTGTGAAGCACCACGCTAAGAAGTGCATATTTGGGGGTACTTTAACTATTAGTACAACCTACTGAGGCGAGTAGTGCTTTTATATCCATCTTTCAGATGTTGAAACTGAGGTGAAGACATAACATAACAACAGAGAGATGATTTCTGCTCTAATGGAGCTTATATTCCAATCATCATGTCTCTGATTAACAGAATGACTTTTGGTGATTTTTCGTTCTGTTTCCCCTTCTATAGCCATGGCAGAGATAGCTAAAAGTGTTAAAGCTGCTCTGAATAAAGATGTATTATCTTATTTAATCCTTGCAATAACCTTATAGGTGATTACTGTTATCATTCCCATTTTACAGATGAGGAAACTAATGTCCAGAGAAACTAAGTAATTTTCCCTAGAGTCCTCACCTGGGATTTAAACCCAGGCAGTGTAACTCCAGGCTAAAACACAACATGACTGCAAATATGGAGATTGGACTAAATCTCTGAGATGACATCTTGCTGGAATGTTCCATTACATTCCTATA